TAGGAAATGGAAAGGCTTGGAAAAAATTATATTAAGTGAAGTAAGCCAGGCCCAAAGAAACATAGGTCCCATGGTTTCCCTTATTTGCAATACCTAGCATATGTCTAGGACAAGCAGAAAAGGTCAAAAGCTATGTGTGTATGACCATATAAGATGATGTTAAGTGAAATGAACCCCCGACAGAGACACAAGTGGTTTTTTCTTCCTTGCTATTTTTTTTTTGTCAGTCGTGGGCCTGAACTCTGGGCCTGGGCGCTGTTCCTCAGCTCCTCAGATCAAGGCTAGAGGTCTACCACTTGAGCCACAGCGTCACTCCCCGGCTTTTTCTGCTTATGTGGTACTGAGGAATTGAACCCAGGGCCTCATGCATGCAAGGCAAGCACTCTACCACTAAGCCACCTTCCCTGCCCTGTTTTTTTTTTGTCATGGGGCTTGAACTCTGGACTTGGGTGCTGTCCCTCAGCTCTTCAGCTCAAGGCGAGAGTTCTACCACTTGAGCCACAGCGCCAGTTCCGGTTTTCGAGTGGTTTATTGGAGATAAGAGTCTCAGGGACTTTCTTGCCCAGGCTGGCTTTGAACTGTGATCCTCAGGTCTCAGCCTCCTGAGTAGCTAGGATTACAGGCATGAGCCACCGGTGCCCAGCCCTTGCTATTGTTTTTGACATACTTATAATGTACTATGTGATTTTTTTGTTTCTTTGGTTTGCTCCTCCCCCCATGGTATACACCCTGTTTTCACTGTATTTGATTCCGGTGCCCTGCATCTTGTATATATACTTTTCTAATTTAGGGAGGGAAAGGAAACAAAAACAAAATGCTTAAATAGGGATACAAGTTGACCCATTGTAACAATGAGATGTACAAGACACTATGTTGAAAATGAACTTTACAACTTCAGCGCTGGGGTAGGGGGCAGTATTTGGGGAGGTAGAAAGGAAGGGATGGTAGGGGAAAAACAAAGGAGGAGGCAATAATACTTGAGAGGAAATATACCCATTACCTTACTCATGTAACTGTAGCCTCTCTACACAGTATTTTTACAATACAAAACTATTGAAAAAATAGTAAGTTTTTCTCACAATAAATATAAAACTAGTTATTTAATGAAAACTACATGTTACATCATAGTAAAGAGCATTGAAAACAGCTTCCTATCTATCTTCTCCCATGCTTATCCCCTATGCTGACCACATAACCTTGAATAGGGTTGTGTTGTTACAGTTCTCAGTGTCATTTGAGGATGTGACAGTGGATTTCAGCAAGGAGGAGTGGCAAAGCTTGGACCATGGTCAGAGGCGCCTGTACTGGGATGTGACACTGGAGAACTACTGCCACCTTCTCTCAGTGGGTAAGTGCAGGTGACCTGTGTGTCTACAGAAGCCTCAGAGGGACATTTCCATTCCAGCTGCCATGTGCTCTGGGACATTGGAAGAGTGTGATAGTGTTGGTAGGATTTTCCTTCTCCCCTGTGATCCCTACTATGTTCCCAGTGAAACAAAGGCACTTTGAGATAACTCAATCTTGTATCATGTCTGGTTAATAGGGTACCACATTGCCAAAACAGAGACTGTCTTCAAGTTGGGGCAAGAAGAGGAGCCATGGACGCCAGAGGAGGAAGCCCCACAGGAGAGCTGTTTGGGTGAGTGAGTGATCCAGGAAGGCAAGTGTGACCAAAAGAAGGAAATTCACTTCTCCTAGAAAAGGGCCACATCTTTTTTTTTTTTTTTTTGGGTCTGGTCGTGGGGCCTGAACTCTGGGCATGGGCGCTGTCCCTAGCACTCTACCACTTGAGCCACAGCACCACTTCCGGCTTTTTTCTTTTTGCTTATGTGGTGCTGAGGAATCAAACCCAGGGCCTCAGGCATGCAAGGCAAGCGCTCTACCACTGAGCCAACTTCCCAACCCCCCACATCTTTTTTTTTAATAGCATTTTTTATTGTGATTAAGTGATCACATAAATTTCACAAATTTCAGTATTGTGAGACAGTGATACTTAGTTAAGGTCACAAACACATTCTTTTTTTTTTTTTTTTTTTGGGTCCGGTTGTGAGGCCTGAACTCTGGGCCTGGGCGCTGTCCCTCAGCTCTTCAGCTCAAGGCTAGCACTCTACCACTTGAGCCACAGCGCCACTTCCGGCTTTTTTTCTTTTTGCTTATGTGGTGCTGAGGAATCGAACCCAGGGCCTCAGGCATGCAAGGCAAGCGCTCTACCACTGAGCCACCTTCCCAGCCCGTCACAAACACATTCTAACCTTCATGGGGCAAATTGTCTTTATCATGGTCTATAAAGTTTATGAGTTCTATGAGCTTTGACAATACAATTATTTCTTCCACATTGGGTGAGACATTTCTTTCCTTTTGCATAGTGTCAGCTGTTCCCTCTTTCCCGCTTATTCCCTCCTTCCCATTGCTGCCATTGAGTTGCTTAGTTCGTTTTGATCAATGACCAGTGCAGCTGATGGGTCCTGCTGTTGTATGTTTTCCCCTGTTTCCATGTCCTCCTCCTAGTTTCCCTCAGTTGTAAACATATATACCATATATGTGGTCAGCAGCATGAGGTCATTTAGTAATGATTTGACCAGATGAGTGGAGGTCCTTTGTTTCTCGAGTATTGTTTACTTTGTTGTATCTCCTTATGTTTTGGGTTTAACATCCATTTATCAGGGAGATCATGTGCCCTTTGTCTCTTTTCTCTTGGCTTACCTCACTCAATATGATTTTTTCTAGTTCTATTCATTTCCCTGCGAATGCCATTATTTTGTCCTTTCTAATGGCTGCATAATATTCCATTGTATATAGGTACCACAAATTTTGGATTCATTCATCTGTGGTGGGACATCTGGGTTGTTTCCATATCCTGGCTATTGTGAACAGTGCTGCAATGGACATGGAGGTGCACGTGTCCTTGTATCCTGGCTCCTGTTGTTCAGGATGGATGCCTAGGAGTGGTATGGCAGGGTCATAGGGAAGGTCTATATTTAGCTTTCTGAGGACCCTCCGGACTGCTTTCCAAAGTGGTTATATTAGTGTAGATTCCCACCAGCAGTGCAATAGGGTTCCTCTTTATCCACATCGCTGCCAGCATTTGTTGTTGGCTGAATTTAGGATGTGGGCCATTCTGATTGGGGTAAGGTGGTATCTCAGGGTTGTTTTAATTTGCATTTCCTTTACAACAAGGGATAGTGAACATTTCCTCATGTGTTTCTTTGCCATTTTTATCACTTCTTCTGAGAAGTCTCTCTTTAGTTCCCTTGCCCATTTAGTAATTGGTTTGTTAGGTTTGGGAAGGATTAGTTTCCTGAGTTCTCTGTATATACAGGATATTAGCCCCTTGTCTTGTGTATTGCTGATAAATATTTTTTCCCAGTTAGTTGGCTGTCTTTCTAGTTTGGTTGTTATGTCTTTAGCTGTGCAGAAACTTTTTAAGCTGTGCAGATTAGTTTCTTGAGTTCTCTGTATATACAGGATATTAACCCCTTGTCTTGTGTATTGCTGATAAATATTTTTTCCCAGTTAGTTGGCTGTCTTTCTAGTTTGGTTGCTATGTCTTTAGCTGTGCAGAAACTTTTTAAGGTAGTCCGATTTGTCTAGTCCCTCTCCAATTTTTTGTGACCCTGGGACTTTGTTCAGGAAGTTTCTGCTTGTACCTATAAGCTCAAGTGTCTCTCCTACTCTGTCCTGCAGTAGTTTCAGAGTTTCAGGTCTGATTAAGGTCTTTAATCAATTTTGAGTTGATGTTAGTGCATGGTGACAGTCTGGGGTACACTTTTAGTCTTCTGCATGTGGCCGCCCAGTTTTCCCAGCACCAGTTGTTGAAGAGGCTGTGTTTCTTCCACTCTATGCCTTTGGCTCCTTTGTCAAATATCAGCTGACTGTAAGCGCGTGGTTTTATTTCTGGGTCTTTTCCATTGGTCTTTGGGTCTGTTTTTGTGCCAGTACCAAGCTGTCTTTGTTATTATGGCTCTATAGTAGAGTTTGAAGTCTGGCATTGAGATCCCTCATGTGTTGTCTTTTATGCCTAGATTTGTGTTGGCTATGCTAGGTCTTTTGTTGTTCCATATGAATTTTTGGATGGTTTTCTGTATTTCAGTAATGAACTTCATTGGGATTTTAATAGGAATTGCATATCAATTTTGGCAGTATGGCCATTTTCACTATATTGTCTGCCTGCCTATCCAAGAACATGGAAGGTCTTTCCATTTCCTAGTGTCCTCTATAATTTCTTGCTTTAAATTTTTATAGTTTTCATTAAAGAGTTGTTTTACATCTTTGGTTAGGTTAATTCCTATATATTCTAATTTTTTTGAGGTTATTGTGAATGGGGTTGTTTCCTTGATTTTCCTTTCTGATTGAACATTGTTGGTATACAGAAAGGAACTGATTTTTGTGGGTTAATTTTGTATCCTGCTACTTTGCCGAAGTGGTTTATAAGTTCTAAGAGTTTGGGGGTGGAATTTTTGGAATCATGGAGGTATAATATGTCATCTGCAAAAAGGGATAGTTCAACTTCTTCCTTCCCTATGCAGATTCCTTTAATGCCTTTTTCTTGCCTTATTGCTCTGGCTAAGTAAGGATTCCAGAACTATATTGAAGAGGAGTGGTGAGAGTGGGCATTCTTGCCTTGTTCCTGATTTTAGGAGAATGGATTATAGTTTTTCCCCATTAAGTATAATATTGGCTATTGGTCTGTTGTATATGGATTTTATTGTTTTGTTTTGTTTTTTTGGGTCCGGTCGAGGGGCCTGAACTCTGGGCCTGGGCACTGTCCCTCAGCTCTTCACCTCAAGGCTAGCACTCTACCACTTGAACCACAATGCCACTTAATGACTTTTTTCTTTTTGCTTATGTGGTGCTGAGGAATCGAACCTAGGGCCTCAGGCATGCAAGGCAAGCGCTCTACCACTGAGTCACCTTCCTAGCCCGGATTTTATTGTTTCAAGGAATGTTCCTTCTATTCCTATTTTCTCCAGAGCTTTTAGCATGAATGAATGTTGTATCTTATCAAAAGCTTTTTCCAAGTCAATGGAGATAATCATGGTTCTTGACCTTTGATCTGTTAATGTGATGGATTACATTTATTGGTTTACTTATGTTAAAATATCCCTGCATCTCTGGAATGAAGCCTACTTGGTTGTAATGTATGATTTTTTTTATGTGTTTCTGGCTTCTGTTGGCTAGAATTTTGTTAAAGACCTTTGCATCAGTGTTCATCAAGGAGATTGGTCTGTAGTTCTCTTTTTTGTTGGATTTTTGCTTGGTTTGGGGATGAGTATAATATTGGCTTCATAGAATGAGTTTGGGATAGTTCCCTCTGTTTCTATTTCTCGGAAGAGTCTGAGAAGTATAGGTATTATTTACTCTTTAAAGGTCTTATAGAATTCCATAGTGAATCCATCTGGTCCTGGGTTTTCCTTGTTGGAAGACTTCTGATTGCTTCCTCTATCTCATTGTAAGATATTGGCTTATTTAATTGATTTATTTCTTCTTGGTTCAGTTTGGGAAATTTGTATTTCTCTAAGAATTCATCCATTTCTGCTAGGTTTTCTTTCCTTAGTGAGTATGGATTCTGAAAATAAATGTTTATAATTGTTTGGATATCTTGGGTATTGTAATTTTTCCCATGGCATACCTGATCTTATTGATTTGGGTTTCCTCTCTTCTTTTTTTAGTTAATCTTACCAAAGGTCCATCAATTTTATTTTTTCAAAAAACCAGCTTTTTGTTTTATTAATTTTATTTATAGTTTTCTTAGCTTCTATCTCGTTAATTTTAGCTCTTATCTCACTCCATCTAGTAATTTTAGGTACAATTTTTTTCATGCTTTTCTAGCAGTTTTAGTTGCAACGTGAAATTATTTACTTGGTTTGTCACTATTTTCTTTTTTTTCTTTTTTTTTGCGGGGGGGTCTAGTCGTGGGGCCTGAACTCTGGGCCTGGGCGCTGTCCCTCAGCTCTTCAGCTCAAGGCTAGTGCTCTACCACTTTGAGCCACAACTCCGCTTCCGGCTTTTTTCTTTTTGCTTATGTGGTGCTGAGGAATCGAACCCAGGGCCTCAGGTGTGCAAGGCAAACACTCTACCACTGAGCCACCTTCCCAGCCCTGTCACTATTTTCTTGATGTGTGCACTGAAAGTGATACATTTGCCCCTCAGGACTGCTTTTGCTGTGTCCCACAGGTTTCTTTGTGATGTATATTCATTTTCTTTGAATTTTAAGAACTTTTTAAAATTTCTTCAATTTCTTCTGTGACCCAGGTGTTGCTCAGAAGTGTGCTGTTCAATTTCCATGTATTTGAGTAATTTCTATGGTATACTTTGTTATTGAGAACTAGCTTGATTCCACTTTGATCAGATAGGATACACGGGATTATGTCAATCCCCTTGTATTTGCTTAAATTCCTTGTACGAACTATGATATGGTCTATTTTGGAGAACATTCCATGAGCTGCTGAGAAGAATGTGTACTGTCGTTTTAGGATGGAAAACTCGGTAGATCTCAACTAGTTCCACTTGAAATATGGCATCACTTAATTCAGAGCCTTCTTTGCCAATCCTCTGGTTGGTAGACCTGTCCTTTGGTGTGAGTATTATTGTATTTGGAGCTATTTTATTCTGTAAGTTTGAGAATATTTGCTTAACATA